CTCCAACCCTCCGTATGGAGCGGGTTCAACTTAAAAGTCTTAAATGGGTACCCTAATTTTTTATTGCAGATTATGATTTTGCGTCGAAAAATATGGAAGTTTTGTTTGGAACATTTTTTTAGACTCGTGACAGATGTCGCTGTAATCGACAAAATTGAAAATGCGTACAAAAATCGTTACCGAATTAGAATTTCTCGAGGAATACACATCGTGTTCTGCAAATTAGAATTCTGTCGATAAATACGTTTAAAAAAAATCTGTTTTGATGAAAATGTTTGTTCTACTTTTAGCGTTACCCGGGGACAACGACGTGGACGTAGTAGAATCATGTCCCCATGGGATGCTTTTTTAATAACCTAACCTATAATAAAGGATCATGTGGAACAATTTTGGATCACCATTGTTTTGCTACATACGACGAAAATGCCGACTTAATTAATGTCGACCAAAATGCTATCGTCACTATGAGTACGTTAAAAAATAATTTTTGATGATATTGACGTTCATTGCTTGATGATATTGACGTTCATTGCTTGATGCACATTTACATCCAATATCTTGTCCAATTGAAACATTTCACAGTAACTTGAATCATTGTGCATTTATTTTAAAGGAAAAAGATTTGAAACTGAAGTTGTGCAGCATTCAAAGGCTGAAGCTGAACAGCATGTGTCTAATACACACTCTACACTCTCATACAAGATGAATTACTAATAGAATTAGTTCGTGTTCGAAGAGCTTTATGGGATCATACTATTCCGACTAGTCAAAGAACAAAATTAAAAAAACAAGATCTCTGGCACGAGATTGTAAATGTATTTGGTGGTGAGATCATTTTTTAATTACTTATGAATTAAAAACTCAATAAAGAAACAGGGCTATGAGCCAAAATTAGTTGTTATAATTTAAAAGTTCAGAATAGAAAATAAATAATTATACCATTACGTTGAAAATATAATAAACTTTAATATAAAAACAAATGTTTCGATTGGATCATTCTCAATGTTTACAAAAATTAGTCAATCTGGTAAAACAGATATAAACTGACTTATTTTTATAAACATTGAGAATGATCCGATCGCGATCAAAACATTGTTTTTATATTAAAGTTTATTATATTTTCGTAATGATATAATTGTTTATTTTTTATTCTGAAATTTTAAATAATAACGACTAAGGCCGGGTTCACACCTTGACG